TTTTTTTTTTTTAAAAGGTGTCCTCCATTCTTTGTATTATCCTGGAGAAGATGCACCAAGCTTTAATCACTGGTAGGCATATGGAACCAAGACGCCCCATATCTGCTACTATAGATATTACAGTGAGACTGTCAGAGCACACCTCCATTCCCCTCAGTGCCTTATCTTTGTGCGACAGCTCTGTTAATTCAAACTGAATAACACCCATAAAACCTAGCAATATATGGTGGGTACCGCTGAATAACCTTTGGTGTGTAAAAGCGCACTGCCATTCAGCACAAAATGAGGTGCATTTAGAGGAAATTGACTATCCAGAATGACATCGTCTAACGTCAAATCATCTGTGTCCTATTTCCTGGACAATTTCAATATTCAGGCAGAAGGTTAAACCGTACTTCAGATAAGTACATACTGTGATGCTGAACGCCTTGAAGGATGTAAAAAAGAAAAAAGAAAAAAGAAATAAATAAAGCATCATTTTGTGATTTATACTGGTCCAATGCTGGGACCAGTTTAAGGCTTTAAAGGCCAAACACGTGAAAATCTTACCAGAGCTTGCTGACCCAGAGGAACGGGGTCCCTCAAGCATCTCAGAAGCTACACAGGACAAAAATGACGTGTTATGAATGCTCAACAGTCCATTTGATCTGATACACATATCGAGAGTGCTGAAAATGTACAACATGCGAGTCAATTAACACAGGACAGAGAAATCGAGGTTTACTGCTTAACAGGTTAACATGAACTAGCTCTTCATGTAGAAAGTGGCAAGAGGAGGCTCAGTAGAGTGCTTCTCATCTTTTACGTGTATATTTCCTTTGCAAACACAGACTTCAGAACGCCTTGCTCCCTTATCGCTCCCACAACGCCATCGTCCACAATCAAGGACAACTTTTTCAAAACTCTTATCAATGTGCACACAGAAGGAATCAGGCAAGCTGGCAATCTAGCTCAGCTGAAGACACCCATTCTCCTGGAAATGGCCTAATGCTACAGTCAATATATATTTATATATGTATATATATATATCTTAGTAGTACAAATACAACAGAGATGCCTCCTGCAACACAGAAACCAAACCCCTTAAACATTTAGTACATTTTTAGAGGAATACCATATAGCTGTGCTGTTGTTTGTCTGTTGTTCAGGGGAGGAAAACCACATATGAACAACTAATGCTACAATATTCTGACATAATTACTCCACTTGCCAAATGAGACAACTGTTCTACTGAAACTGTACCTAGCTTCAGTCAAACTTCACATTACCGCTTAAACTTCAAACACTGAATGTCTTTTAAGTCCGTGTTGCACTGACAGAGCGATCAGACGGCGTCGGGGAATTTATTTCGTGGACCAGCCCGATGTAACATCAGAAAATTGACCAACTTTAAAGTTGCTCACTGCTAGCTAACCCAACCACAGCCAGGCTCGGTGATGATGAGATTAGATAGCATGGTCGGCCGCTAAAATATTGCTTTAACTCTGTACTTGGTGTTCATCCGCGAGCCACTGAAAACAACGATCTGCGTGTGTAATTGCATCACGTATTACGAAAATAAACGCCAACCGATCCCGTCTCGTTAAATTACATTCGGGGTCTAACTAACAACAAGTTCGGGGACGAGTTACCGCTGAAGCTAACTTGGCTAACAGCAGCTTCTTGTTGTTGCACGCTAGCTAAGCTTGCCCCTACTACTAATGCCTCCACTTAAGACTGGGACGACGTGTTCCTGATCAGAGGATTTGTTTGAGTTTCAGAACAACTAGCTACACGAAACAGGACTCGAGTTTCAGCAATGGCTCGATGCAGCAACAACAACAACAACAACAACAACAACAAAAACCCCGCTGCAAACTACTGTGTTGATTTTCGCTAGCTGCATCAGTTAGCCGATGCTAGTGTTAGCAGCAGCACTTACCTCCAGCAGAGGAATACATTTTGTCGACTTTTTAAGCGTGTGTCGTGGACGTACAGATACTCCACTTATTTTGGCCAAATTCCACCCAAACTCATACGTGGTCGAAAAGTATTTATATCTACAAGAGCGATAGATGAAGCCCAGTTAGGAAATTAAGATATTTAGTTAGCCAAGTGGTAAATATTCGGAGTGTCTCATCCTCGGCACGGCCCCATCCCCCCAACACACAAAACGGGAGCCGAGAGAAAAGATAGCACGGAAAAGACCCAGGCAGGGCAAGAGGGTTCCCTCCCATATACTTCCGTCTTTGCTCGCTTCCCGTTAAGCAGCCCAAACCTTTATATTTCTTCGTTTTCTTTTCACAAAAGATCTCTCTAGCTCACCAACGCAGTCGTTTTGACTGTTAAATGGCTAGCATTCGCATTTATTGAACCATGACACTTATGTGAAAGAATTAGAAGCAGCAGATACAACGCGTGTTGTTTCTTGTATAAACTATTAACATTTTAGATCAACTAAATGTTCTGACACATTCGAGATATTAAGCTGCTAACGAGTGGTCCAAGTTTAGACTTTTTCCACACGCGTGAAACGTTGCCATTTGGTATCTAAGGACCAACGGTCTATCTGTGCTGTGAATAGGAGGGTAACTATCTTGTTTGTTTGGACTCTTCAGTGATGTCAGACGCACGCTGCGCGCTCTCAGCCTTGACCCGAATTCAAATCGAATAACCAAAGCAAATGTAGTTTTCTTAATTAAAAAACAATAATAATGTCCCTAAACCATGTGGCTAAACATATGGGTTTAAGAAAATATGAACCGCAAACTGAGTTAACAAAAAACTTTGTCATGTAAGACAACACAGGAAGAAATCTGTGGCTTCGGTGAGGGAGGGGGGGTATTTCCGGGGTACCAAAGTCAGGTGAGCTAATATGAAAATAACACAACAATCTACCAACATTTAGACCTATTTGTTTGTTATTTATATGAGAAAAGCATAACAATGTGTACAGAATGTTCAACAAGACAGAGTAGTTTGGTGAGATTACTTAAAGCACTTAAACCCAGACCATACATATATATATATATATA